AACAGTCAGAGCAAGCCCTGGTGCCTGGCACTGGGTGGAGCCCGTCGTGCATCTCTGCCTTCCAGTCCTTTCGGATCAAAAATTCGTTTGGCAGTTCAGACCTTTCTTCCCAAGCAGGTTCTCCATAATCCCGTGTCGGTTTGTGGTGCTTCTGATGTGAGGTGATGATCACAGAGACAGCACATGTGGATTATTTTGCTTGCTTTCATTTTTGAGTAACTGCACAGTTCTTTACTTTATTCTGATTTTAATCCATTTTTCTTTAATGAGTAATCCATTAGGTATGAACAATGTCTTGCAGTAATGGATCCTGGTTTTTTTTTTAGTTAATGGATACTGTGAAACCTCCAGTCACATTTAAATTCAAATCACTATGTATTTCATAAAAAAACAAATAATGAAATGCCTGTGAAGGTGCCATTCTTTGGACGTTGTTTAGTATTTCATGCAGCTTTTATATCAATGCTTTTCCCAGCTGCTGTTTAAGAGACCAGGAATTAAATCACAGCTCTACTTTTATTTTTTTCTTTTGTAGTGGGAGGGGACTGTGTCTTTTAGTGTATAGCAGGATGCATTTAACTGACCTGAGGATACATTAAAGGGGGCCATAAAAATGGGGCCAGCCAGGACACTCTTCTTTCTTCAGAGTTTGGGGAAAAAAAAGGGGGGTGTTGCTAGCAACTTGACAGTATTACTTCTGAAAAACATCTGAAATGAATAAATTAAATTTGAGTGCATACATCTCTAAGATTCCTTTTATGTTAAAGATCAAAAGCAAGAGCAAAGTAAATTGCCTGCTTGTCATCTTAGAATTATTGCATTGACTGGTTCAGATTTCCTTCTTGTGCTAACTAACAAAAGTGAGTGGGATACAGTTGAGTGAACAGAAATGTGCTGCTGCAGACAAAACACCATCAGTGAGACTTCTATTAATACCCAACAGTGACCTGTTTGTTTCTTTGTTTAGGATGTAACACACCAACAATAATAAGAACTAACACGAGCACTGGAAATAGGGTACCTGCAAATTCTGGTCTGGGCAGAATTTACCCTGGGAGGTTTTTTAAAGCAGACACTGAATTCCAGCAGAGGCAGCTGGATCCACAAGGGCATTCCAGCACTGAACACCTGTGTGGTGCAGTTGGGATCTGAATAACATCCATATGCTAAAATGAGGGATTTGGATGAACAGTACCATAAACACCAGCTTGTTTAGGCAGAGTCTGTCTCTCACGGCCACCAGGAGATAAAAGGAGTTTTAAATCACATCCTTGCTGGTCTCAACTATTGTGTTGCATTGCTTACAACTCACTCGGGCTCCACACCAAAACACCTTCCTCACTGTAGGCAGTTAGCAGATGTTCAGTGGAATTGTAGTGAAGTTGTGGTATTTCCCAGAGAAGAAAAAAAGGTGCGTGATTGGTGGGACAAACTTTTTCCCTGGTGTCTGTCTCTGTCTAGGGTGGGTTTGTGAAAATCTTCCCTTGAATTCTCCAAAAGCGGAATATATTTTATTTTTAGCATAACTAAAAATGTTTTATTACTTTTGTATCCTCTGGCCTTCTAATTGCACTTAGTCAGGGCTTGATTTACATATATGATGACATAAAGTCTTGGCTTCTTTTTCTCTTTTAAATCCGAAGGTTAAATTCTCTGAATGGTGGGATGATGCTACTTTAGGACACGGATCCTTCCAGTAAAAGGACAGCACTTAATTCCCTTGCAAAGTACTTATTTCTGTGACTAAAAGAGTGTCATATGGGTTTGCACCTCACTATGCGTTTATGATTGTTACTTTTTCCTAACTTTTTCATAGACTAAAGTGGTTTTGCTTGCCTGCAGAAGAAGTGGAAAATACTGAGAAGGCTATCAAACAGTCACTGTAATTACCTGCAACGTGGTAGCAGTTGAGCATCCCAAAGTGACTGCAGCATCACTTGTAAAGCATGTTTGTTGCATTATGATTTTAAGGGCCCAAATAATAACCTGGAAAGCACAGAATCCCATCAAAGAGCCCCTTGTGTCACAGCCCACTGTACTCCACCATTGCCTGTTGAGGTTTTCTAATTGAGTTTGTCCCGAGATTTAAAAAATCCTCCCCAGTTTTGTTGGGTTCCTGCAGGTGAGTCAGAGCAGCTCCCAGAGTTGTTCTGCTGCCTCCCTTGCAGTGTAAGTCCCTCAGCAGAGATGAGTAGGTTACACGAGCAGGGATAATTAGCACTGATACACTAAAATAGGGTAACAGACAAGTTGTAGCTGAGAAGGACAATACAATGACTCATTCTCTGTTTTCCACCTTGACTCATTTGCTATTTGAAAAGGGTTTGGATTTTGAAATATGAAAGCCTGTGTAGCTCTTCCCAGGCACACAGCAGAATAATTTATATTTTGCTTTCCAAGCTGCTTAATTTTTAACTATACTTTGAGCCTAGTTTATATATTTTATATCAGTCTTCGCTAACTCCCACAAAAGCAAAGAATTGATGTTAGGCAGCTGTCTTAAGATGGGTTCACCTACTTTGCTTTTCATTTATTCACTGTGAAAGAGGTCTAAATCTGCTGCAGAAGAAAGCATGGAAGGTTTTTCTGGCTAGAGAAATAAGGATTTCCATATGAAGTTACAGTTTTCCTCATTACAGCTCTCTGGCTTTAAATTGCCTCTGCTATCTTATAAAATATCTGCTGTCTGAAGGCAAAATCAGTTGTTGCTGGCTTTTTATTTTTTTAAATGTCATTTAAGGTTGTGGTATCTGACAAATTGCCCCCTCTGGCCCACCACTTGAACAGGACTAAGCAGGTGATACATTTTGTGTTAAGCATGGAATGGCAGATTGCTGGAATATATGAGCAGTAACCAATGAAGTTTGGGGTTGTCATCACAGTGTCCATCCCTGGGTATCATTACAGGCTTGCTCATCATTCTGTCATGGTTTTCAGGGAATACTTAGTGGGATTTTGAATCGCTCAGTATTAAATTGATACATTTTCAGAGGCTTTATGTGGAACCATCAAGTGTCGTTTTGCTCGAGGAGCACACAACCTATTGTATTTCAGTAGAGAAATTACACCTAAGTCCTTTAGAGGCATTTAAAAATGTTTGAATTGTCATTTAATAGTGTCATAAATCAACACCAGCTCTAAACACTTTCTGTAACAAAATGTAAAATTAATTTAAATGTTTTGCACTTGATGATAAACAACAGAATTTCCAGTGTTTTCAGCCATCTGGTCCAGTAATTTTTCTGTTTCGCAACAGTATAAAATAGGATTAAATGCAATTTCAGGAAGCTGTGAGAGTCTGAAATCCAAGGATCTTACACTAAGCATGCCAAAACATAATCCCAAATCCTGTTTGTAAAATTAGCTATTTATCCTACCTCCACGTTTTCATGCAAAATAAATTCTGCACTACCTTAAATTGGCAGGAAAGCTGGTGAATATTTTTTTACCAAACTGTGAATGCTGTTGACTGTGATGCTCAGCTGCATCTATGGCCAGTGCACAGAAAGGCTCAGTGGTGAAGGAATTTGGCATCAGCTGGAAATGAAAAGCTCTGTCATGACAGAACGTTCTCTCTTGGGGAAGAAGCTCGATTCCCAACTCTGCTGCCTATGGGTTTGCAAACTTTGACAGGAAAGGCAAGTACTTAGCAACAAAATGACTTTTTCTTTAATCTGTTTGGTAGCATGAATTGGACTTGCAAGGACAATCCAAAAGGCCATTCAGGGCAGTGAGCAGTGGGTAGAGAGTGTTTGCAAGAGGGAAGAAAAAAAAGAAGAAATTACTGGTTTGGAGGTGACAATGACACGATTCATTTAATGTCAAATTGTTTCAGAAGTTCTGCAAAAATCCCATGGCTACTGAGGAGGATGGGAGGAATGCAGACCTGGCACGTGGATCGTTAGGAGTCGGACAAAATCAGACAGCATTTGCAAATTTTTTGTAAAAAAATCATGTTCTGAGAGAAGGGGAAGAATGGTTGGACTTCTTTAAACATTCTTTTGGCTAATCAGACAATGATTCAGTCAGGCATTTCAAAATACATTATAGAGCCTTAAATTATGGGTGTCCTCTTTACCTGCTTCTGCTTGTCATTTAGCTTTTCTGCTACCCCTGACCAAGATGGGATGCTACTTGCATGAGACCTACCCAGAAATTTTCTGAATAGCATATTGTTGTCTCCTGCCACAGATCAAATGTATTTCTTTCAAGTTTATAATGGGAGTGATTTTTTTACTCCAGTACAGTCCAAAATAGAAGTAATGTTGGTTTTTTTCAAAAGAACAGAACAGCCTTTAGTCATTAAAAATACAGAGGGAATCAGAATAAACCTGCCTTGTTTGTACCCCATACTAGATAAATGTTAATTCATGTCATTCTGAGCTGGACTCTTCTTGCAGGTGTCCGCCTTTCCTGGCTGCTCTCATCTTTCTTGCCCTCTTCTTATAACTCACAACCTCTTCTGCTTTATTAGATTTCTTTGCTGTATCTGGCTCTGTTCCATCTGTCTTGAGCAAAGATTACCACTTACCTTCTCATGTGTGTTTTTTATTTGTCTTGCCCTTTTTCTTAAGGTCACTGGCCTTGGGTAAACTCTCCTTAGTGAATCTTCTTCATGTTAATTGACAAATACAGCTCCACTATCCTTGCCTTTTAATTCATGTTTGAGTAGCATCATTCTTTAGGCAGGTACCTAATTTTAATCTGCTGCCTCTGAACTGTTCCTTCTCTCTAGCCAAAGGAGTAGTGAGATGACAGTGAGCATAAAGAAGTCAAAGTCCAGTAACCCTCAACAGAGGTGGTGGAGCAGAATGAAGTTTTACTAATTTTTTATTACTATTAGAATTATTTACTTCTGTTTACTAATTAATTGTTCAAAATGCAAGTTCAGGTAAACGGTTTAGTTTTAATTTAATGCTGCATGTAAAGAATGAAGGTAAACGTGACACCTGTAAACTGCTGACCCAATACACGCTCTCTCTCCCTTTTTTCTTTAACAGGCATTAAAGCTGTATTTGCTGGGCATTACCACAGGAATGCTGGAGGGTCCTACAAAGGACTGGAAATGGTGGTTTCATCAGCTATAGGATGTCAGCTGGGAGAAGACACGCACGGGCTTCGAGTGGTGGTGGTCACAGAGGAGAAGCTGGTTCACAGATATTACAGTTTAAATGAACTGAGCAGCCAAGGCATAGAGAAAGAGCTGCTGGATGTGCTTGCTAAGCAAAAGTAAGCTGTATCAAAGGGGTTTTTCCATATTAGATAAATATAAACAGTTCCATGAAGTTTCCCCAAGCTAAAATACAGATTCCTGACTGCACCGTGTCCCAGAACAGCTCTCAATTTGTTGTCCTCAATAACAAGAAAGTTGTTGACGTGTTTTTCTTTTTGAAAATGAGACCTGTGAGGAACATGGAAGAAGAGCAGAGCTAATATGGTGATGTGTCATTGAAAAGTACTGCTCTGAGAATCTTCAGCTCAAAAACATTTGAAATCAGCAGACTCCCACTGACTTTAAGCACCCTCCGGACCATTCCGTGTTACCTCCGTGTCAGATTTTCCCCCATTTCCCAGCCTTTACTTCTTAGCTCTTTGGAGCCAGCAGCAGTAGGAGAACAAACACATTCTGGTTTGCAGTCACAGCTTGGGGTTCTGTTATATCCATTATAAGGTTTCATATAATGTTACATAGTTCTATAGTTTCTGTTATATAGTTTTATACAACGAAAAGTCTATAAATGAGGCTAATACAGACATGCCACTGACAGCAACTAAATGTGAAACAACTATTTTCATTTTGAAATTTAACTACCATTCAATTAGCATATATTCCTGCTACAGAAGTTGGAATAATTGCATGGGGAGAATGTTCTGTACAGAATACTGTTGTCAGAAGTCATTTTGTTGAATCGTAGACAAGAGGGGAGCGTTGATTTCCACATGCAATGTAGAGTGCCTTCCTGTAGTATTAGAGAATATTGAAACCCCTAAAAAATATATTTTCTTCACTGGAATAAGTCATTAAAAATAAATTCTGTAAAAGAAGTTTATGTGCTGCAATCCACCTCTTTTTTTAGCAAGTGTATGTGATTTGTTTAAAAAAAAAAATCTTCATGTGAGTAACTCATCCCTGTTTTTATTTTTGAAGTATTTAGTTGAACACTTTACAGTCCATGCCACAGGTTATCTGGAATTCGAGCTGGTGCAGCTGTGGCACCTGAAGAGGAGGAACACACTGAACATTACTTGTGCTGCCTGAGCAGTGGTGCATTCTAGCAGGTTTTATGCATACTCACATACAAGAATGTTCCCTAGAGGGTATTACAGGTATTTAAATATGGTGAGAGGTATGAAATGCTGTGCTGAAGAGTCAGTTTAATTACATTTTAGTCACAACAGTTTATCTCAGAGGCTCCTTCAAGCCTGATTTGTGGGACTCCTGAGATTGTGAAATCACCTGTGTAGCATTGCCTTGTACCAGGGGAGGGGCTGTACTGCAGCTGGACAGGGCCAGAGGGGGACTGTGGTCCCAGGACAGCAACCTGAGCACAGGGAATGTTTGAGTCAGAGAAAAACAAAATGATTTTGCTTTTATTCTCCACCTGGTTTCACTTAGTTGAATGTTTTCATAGTCTCATTTTCAGGAGAACCATGTGGAAAATAAGAGAATGTTTTCACTGCTCATATAGTACAGTCAGGGGAAGGATTTTTAACCATGGTGTGTGGCTGGACATTCCTGTGTGAAGTAAAGACTTAAAAAATAAACTAGGAATGCTTTTTTACCAGCATAAATGACAAATCTGTTGCATCACTTTTTTTAGTGTAATTAGCCAATGTAAAATTAATACTGATACCTTAGCTAATTTGAAATGGCAGAGGTCTTTGTCACCATGCCTCATGTTGTTTATGCCAAGAAAAATAACATATATTATGTTAAATTATGAAACAATTCACCCATGGAGACCCTAGTTATAATTTTAAAAACCATCTTTTGATGTTGAGGACGTTATTTTCATGTGTCCAGCAGGGTTGGTAATTGAAACTCTGTCAGTGTCAGCTTATGACTGACCTTAAAGCAAGATGTCACTGGAAGTTCCAAGTGCTGGTGAAACAGAGAGCAAGGGAGTGGACTCAAGGCTGGGCAGAGAAGAGAAAAATCCAGTGACCACAACTCATTGGGATTTCTTTTAGGCCTCTAAAAGGATGAAATAAACCTTGATGACTATTATTAAATGTGGAAAATTCGTATTAGAACACCAGAGCAACCTGTGAAAGTAACCAAATACTGCATAATTAAGTACACACTGAGGTAGGAGCATGAGGCAAATGACTAAAAACAAAGTCTTTGAGAGAAGTCTTGGTTTGTAAGCAACAAATTGAAGAACACAGTGCTTCTGAACCTTTCCAAAAAGTCAGTAAGACTTGAGTGCACTGTTTGCTGCCACTACCAAAATAACATCCAGCTGATGGGCAAATTCCTTAGGCAAATATGAGACATCTACTACAAAGAGCTAATAGAGGAAAGCTTTCCAAGGCCACATATGTAGGGCCCAACACGGGCCTCTCAGGAGGCAAACAAACACATGGCAGCTCCCACAGCCACCACAGGGAAGTTCATTCCAACAGCAGCTTGGGACTGCTGCTGGCAGCTTCACACAGCCAGCAGCAGGCTCACAGCAAGGAGGGCAAACCATGAAAGATTTGTAGGGCTTCTTTGGAAAAGTTTTTTGGATTATCTGGTTTGGCACTTAAAATTAGTTCCCTTTATTAGGGAGGGAGGCGTCATGAGTAGTTTGCACCCATTCTAATCCCATTGTCCCTGACATAAAGGGGGTTTATTAATTGTTACTCAGGCAGAAGATTATGTGAGTCAAAGCTGATAAATGCAGGCACTGTGCTCTTGGACACAATTTCATTGGAAAATGCCCCATAAATAAATTGCAAAAGTAAAATATATAATAGAGAAAAAGCATTAGACCAGAATGTTAAATGAGCCTCCAGTCCAAATGAAGTACAGCTAAGCAGCAGCAGATACAGAAGGGGGAAGGGGGGGGCAGAAAACCCCCACAAATACACACAGAACTAAGGCAACACAGACAAATTAAAACCTTTTCAAGCGATACAAAAACATACCCAGCAATGCTCTAAAAAAAAAGAAAAAAAACCATAACCACAGCCCACAACTCAGAGAGCCATTACTTTTTTTTAATTGACATTTTCATTTGTTTCCCTACAAGTAATTTCCTCCATTAGCACTTTGTCAAATGCAGGTAGTTTAGTACATTTCTACTAATAAACACCTTATTTTTTTCTCTAGGAGACCCATTAAAGCCTCGTCCTATTTAAATTTATAGTGGTATTATTTCACTTTTGGATAGCCAGAAATTGGAACATCTGTCTTGTAAATATATCCCTGTCTTTCTTGAACATTGCTTAGAAAGGTATAGCATTGTTAAAAAACACAATTTGGCCTTTTAAATTAACTGGTAATGGCATTATCTCTGTATATTCAAATCTTTCTCACTCTTCTCCATATAAAAAAAGCACAGCAGTACAGGAAGGTATCTCAGAGTGCTCTAATGAACCCAAGATCAGAGCCCTTCACAAGCCAACCTGCCTGCCCAGAGATTTGCTGAATAATGTGTCAACAGCACACCAGGCAGGAAAGCAGAGGCTTGGATTTGGATACACGTGAGACAAAGATAATATTACCACAGGAGAATGTGGTTCCTCCAGTTCACTGCAAGCACGGAAGCCAAGAGGCTGCTGACAGAACACACAGCACAAAACCATTTTTTTTACAAAGCCTGAGCTGAACTTAGTCTTACCCTTTTATTAATTCTAAGTCTTGGTCTGTCATAGCCAATGAGGAGGAGGTGGAGCCCCCCCACTTTGCTTCAGCTGTATAAAAGCTGATGTGAAGCCCTCCACTGGTCTGGCAATTAATTTCCACTCTCTCTTCGCAGTGAGAGTGCAACAGAGATGGGATAGGGCATCTTCCCTACCATCACCACTCCCTTTGCCTCTTTTTCTTCCGTTTTTTCCAAGCTGCAGAAAGGAGTCACCATTCCCACCAGGTGTCATTCCAGCCATTTACTACAGCAGGAGCAGGTCAGGAGCTGATACAATCATCATACGTGTACCCCACGTCTGTGGAGCTCCTCACTCTGTGTCCTCTGTCAGCATCCCCTTGAGACTCTCACACACCTGTGGCCTTACCTCATACATTAATCTAAGAGAGGATGGGTGAGACTCAGTGCAGACAGGTTAGGGCAGAATTCAATAGGTCAGGGCCTGAGCTGTCACCCCACAGAACCAGAACATGAAGAGGTGGATGAGAAATGAAGCTGAACTGGGAAGCTGCTCAGGACGTGCTGCTGGCCATCGTCCTCGGCTGAAGTTGGCACCATCCTCTCCTGGCACTCTTTAGGTGCATGGGGTGCTCCTGCAGACCATTTGCTTCTCTGCCTGTGGCATTTGTCAAACAGATACTCCCAGCAACTCAACATCAACAAATGTTCACTGTTAACAACATAAACACTGGTTAATATTGTACACTCACATAAACCACAGAGCCAAGTTCCCAACTGCCCTGATGGTCACTGTTCAGACCAGGGCAAGGATCCTTACAGCTCCACAGATCCCTCCACACCCTTCTGAGCGTGCACACACTCCAGCATGAAGGCAGGCTGATCCACAGCATTGCTGCTCTGGCTCCCAGGGGAACAGCTCTGACTGTCTCCAAAGCTCTACCCAACCTATGGAATTGTTGGAGCAATTTGAGATACAACGTGACGTAGCACATGAGCTTTGTAGAGCAGTATTGTCTCCTCCTCCATTCTTAGTCCTTCTATTTTGATTAAAAAGCATGTTTAGGAATATGATGACTGTAAAATGGTGTAAGATTAATAATTCCAATTTATTTCATCTTCCCATAGTCCCATACAGAAGGTGAAGTGTTCATTACCAAAGATAAACTCCAGCAATAACTGGGATTGCTGTCTTCATTCAGTGCATTTCAGCATATTTTGTTCAGACTGCAGATTTCTACATTGTTCTTTAAGTTGTTCTACAATACAATACCATCAAAAACAGGAGTAAGGAAGAGGATCTATAATTCATGAAAAATATTGGTTTTTATCAGTACACTGCCTCAATGCAAGAATGATTACAGCTTCAATCACTTTTCCAAGAAAGCAAGGAAAGAGAAAGAGCAATAACAGAGCATGCTGTCTGTTAACTGTGACCCAATTTGAGAGTTGAAATACATCAATTATTGTTCAGAGAGCAGCACTCCTTTTTACTGTGCAGCAATTTAACCCGGACAATAAATGCATATTGAAAATTCAATTGATTTAAAATCACAAATGCTGCCAATCTTCCCAATCAAAGGACTTTTCATATTCCCTTTCTTTTGATACACTACCATGATGGATAACTGTGAAGAATATTTTGTAAAGTCTCTTTCTGAGCCCTGTTTTTAATAGAATTTTGTTTGCTGTGGGTAAATACAGGAGGTAGTGGTTTACATGTGATCATTCAAAATTAATTCTAAATTTTACTGCCTGCACTTTTAATATAAATTAGTCTGCATTAAAATCAGACTTCAAGACAAACTAACAGTTTGACAAAAACAGAGAAACATAGATACTTACCGAACAGATCAAAAAAGTGACAGGACTATGTTAAAATTCACCTCCAGTAAATACTGAAGGGACCTTTACAAATTTATTGTTTCACTGTTTTTCTTATCTGTGCATTAGGCTGTGTAGAAGTTTCCTATTTTTCTTCTAGAAAAGCAGCTCATTGAGTTAGATTATTTCTAAGCCCTCTATTATCAGTGCAGATATCTAATGCCTCTCCTTATCCAAAGAAACAATGCAATCCTCATTTATTTCTCATTAAAGATGCATTGTACAACTAATCAGCTAAAGGTATTTTACTTGAAGCTTCTGAAGTTTATTTTTAAGTCTTCAACATTTTAATTGCTTTACTTTGCCCTTGGGTTCCCAGAAATTAAAATATAAACACAAAACTTCCTGTGG